GGAGCCGTGCACAGAGGGTTCAAACCCCCTATTAGTAACTCTCATTTTTTAGCACCCTCACCCTGACGAAGCCTGGAGGTCCAGGCGAAAGCTCGGTTTATTAGTATTTAAATATATTAAATTATTCATATATTTTATCCTCCTGGTGTTCTCACCTTTTTTGGCCTACCTTTTAACTATATATATATATATATATATACAGTAATCACAAGTTCTTAATATTTCATCAGCAACATATTGTCTGGGTTCTAACATTTATCTTACTATACATGTTAAATTCCTTTCTTTCTACCTCATTTTTCTAGCCATTGATAAAAAGTGTCCCATGTTCTAAAATAAACTGAATCTTCTTTCTCTTTCATTTCAATGTCAATCTATCCATTTCTGCACAATCTAAAAAAATTTTAATTAACTCTTCCTCCATTGGTAAATCTTCATTTTTCCAATGTTGAGCGAATACAATTCTCACTGCAGTTAATATATGTAAAATTAGATATATACACTCTTTCTCATAATTTCCTACAATTATGCCTAACAAAAATAGTTCTGGCTTAAAATCCATATGTTTTTTAGTCATTTTCTCTAACCATGTGTGTATTCTTAACCAGAATCTTTTGGCTTTAGGGCATGTCCACCAAAGATGGTAGTAAGTGCCTGGTTTGTGTCTACATTTTCAACAATTGCTTGATATATTTTTAAACATTTTTGCTAACCTCGCCAGTGTTAAATGCCATCTATAAAACATCTCCAACCATCTTTTGAAGAAGTATCCTACTACAAAATAGCCTAAATGAAGCAGATTATCTGGACCCTCTCCAATCACTTTCAAGCTTGGTTATGGGACAGAGACAACATTGATTTCACACATAATCCATTGTAAATTATACTAAATCATAAAGACAAGTCAATTCTATTATCCTAATCCAGACTTCCAGGGGGGAAGCCTTAACATTCTCAAAGGCCTGCCAGGTAACCTGGAATGGTTGGAAAGCAAGAAGATGTAGCTTTTTCCACCCTACTTGCCTTTTCAACCCACCCATCCTCCTTTGCTCCTAGGACTCTTTAAAGTTGGAAACAGGGCTTTGGTTGAATCTCTCCTTTTCATTCTCTCCAGAACTGCAACATTCAACTCAGAAAAATAGAGAGATAAATTTATGAAATAAGAGATCCCAGACAGAAAAATAGCAGGTTATTTGACCTATCACCAGGACACTGATGCCTACCGTTTTCCAATCTGGAATCTCAGTGACAGGAATAATTACTAAGAGTTTCATTCTATGAGCTGCTTTTATCTTTCAGATCCTGCTGTTCCGTAGCAGATCAGATATAGAGCGAGCATATCTTAAATTGCAGTAGAACTTTTATTTCACTCTAGAAGCCCAAGATTGCACTAGACAAGGATCTGAGAATGTTGACACCCTGAAACTTGGAGCAGAGGAAGAATCTAGAGCTTGTTGACTGGGAAATTCTGGGAGCTGAAGTCCACACATCTTAAAGTTGCCAAATTTGAAAAACACTGACCTATGGGAAGCCCAAACTTGGTGCTTTGAACAAAAACGGTGGACCTTTTTGAAGTAGAAAACCAAGGCAGACTTGTATGTGTGGATTAAACAAACAGCACTGATATGTGTAAATGTGTGCATAGAATGAAGACTAAAACTTTTGAGACAAGCAAAGATTTCCCCCTTGATTTTCATCCTTCACTCTGATGTTTATTCTTTCCCTGAAAAAACTGAGAAGACAGATGAGTTCCAGAATTTCAGGCAAAACTGTTAAAATTGGCAATGCCATTTGGAATTTCACAAGTCTTGCTCATGATTGTGCTCATAATAGTGGCAATAGAAATAACATCACTACTATTTCTTAGTGCATTTTTTAAATGGCAAAGTACATAAATAGTTATTACTTTGGTGGGAAGGTAACAGCATTCTGTGTGCTTTGGTGTATAGCCACGCCAGTACTGTATCTATGTATATGCAGTTACACATAAGCATCTATCCTCAACCCATCATTCTCAATCCTCAGGCTACTATCAAACAAATAAGATTCCATATAAGAGCACAAATAACTAAATGCAAGATAACAGTTCATTGAAAAATACATACCTTCTGTAAGAATAGTTGGGGCATCTAACAAAATGAGTCTTTGGGCCACTCCAACAATGTTTGGCAGTAAGAGTTCTTGAAGTTCACCAAGGTTACGTGTATCCAGGGCAGTAAATATGAAGCTTGCATCAGTAGCTATTTGCTGAAGCTCTGCATTGTCAGCATTTTGGACCCCAATGCAAAATGAGAATATACTAGCTTGCTTCATGGCTAAAACTCCTTCTCTTATGTCATCACTAGACTCAATGCTACTTATGAGCACTAAAATCTGTGGCACACCTTCCTCTATTCTGCTGCCTCCTGAGTGGGTGAAGTGGTTTTGCATGACAAAATCAAGAGCATCTCCAATATTAGCTTCCTCGCCACCAAGAATACTAAGGGCCTTCACTGCCTCTAGAATATCAACTTTTTGGGTGTAGCTGTTCAAGGAGAATACAGTTCTGGGTTCATCACTAAACATAACCACCCCAATGCGTATGAGCTCAGCTCCAACTGAGAGTCTTTCAATTAAATTTGCAATGAAATCACGAATGGCTGAGAAAGTGACAGCGCCGTTCTTTGATCCGTCAATAAGGAAAATAATGTCAGCAGATTCTTGTGCTTGAAAAAAAGAGAAATGCAACAGGTGAAAGCATTAAACCAAGTGAATCCATGCAAGTTGAATAGTGTTCTGACATGTTTCTTTGAAAAACAGCAAGAAACACGAATATGGAGGGAAAAAACATGTGATGACCAAAGTCAATGAAACTTGCCTGCCAGTTCTGCATTCTGATTGAATATGAATGATCAGACTTTAAAAAAATTACCCTAAGGACAGTTTTTTTATTGTATATTCTTGTAAATTACTATATTTTGCAATCACAGGTGGGCCACTCTGACATTAAAATAGAATGAGACTCTAACACAATTTTATCATCAAATAAATGTGAACTTTGTACATGGAGGGAGAAGCTCTTTTCTTTTAGGAACCAGCATATACACAATGCCTTCTTATGCTACATTTCAGTCATATGTAATCAGGCTTTTTTTTCTCATAGAACGCCCAGAACGGAGTTCCGGCACCTTTTTTGGATGGAACCTTGTAGGGTAGGCAAGGCGGGTTGTATGACGTGTGTGAGTTCCTGCACCTTTTTTTTTTTTTTTTTTCTTTCAAAAAAAGCACTGTATGTGTTTATTTCCTACACCCATAAGATGTGGCAAAATATAAACTGAAATTATTTTCCATTTTGAGATTCAACATGGATCAGAAATAAAAAAAACAGTTAAATTTGGAATTCTCTATATATTTACTTCAAAGGGTCTTAAATCAGAAAACAAATACATGGAATTGCATGGCAAATGAAGCAAACATGCATTTGTTTTTAAAATGCAAATTTGAGTCAGGTGGCTAATGATAATAAATGCAATAGAATAATAATAAAATTCTAGGAGTTAAGAAAAATCTTTTTAAAGCTCAGCAAAGATTTTAAAGGCCTATCGTGTTAAAAATGTAACATAATAAATAAAGGATTTGGGGGGACTGGGAAACATACTTATAAAATTTTATTTCAATTTATTAAAGAATTAAATAAATACTTCATTCAAAAGCCAAATGTTTGTATACGTGTTTACCTTCTGTATCTTCAAAGGATTATTAGATTATTAAATTATATTTGTCTCCATATTTTCTAATTATAATCTATGTAAAATCAAAATGCAAAAGAATAGAAAGCAAACATATATAAGTATCTTTGCATATGTCATTTATGGGAATATAACTTTAATATTATCTTTACAACAAAAGTGTACTTCTGATTTACTTGTTCACATATTACCACTGGATATTCAATCAAATAATGCAGAATCGTGTTAAAGCGGTAAACCCAGTCATAACAATTATCCAACCACATATGCTATGCCTGTTTCTGGATCCACAATAGTGAACTTATAATTACATGGAAAATGTATTTTTCAACTAAGATGGATTTTTGACATTATTATGATCAGGTGGATTATCTATTTCATGTTTCTCATAGTTGAGCAGAATTTTTAGAGTTGCTAGTGCTAGGCTGCATTAACAGAAGGATAGAATCAAGATCACGTGAAGTATTAATACCACTTTACAATGCCTTGGTAAAGCCACATTTGGAATACTGCATCCAGTTTTGGTCACCACAATGTAAAAAAGATGTTGAGACTCTAGAAAGAGTACAGAGAAGAGCAACAAAAATGATTAGGGGACTGGAGGCTAAAACATATAAGGAACAGTTGCTGGAATTGGGTATGTCTAGTATAATGAAGAGAAGGATGAGGGGGGACATGATAGCAGTGTTCCAATATCTCAGGGACTGCCACAAAGAAGAGGGAGTCAAGCTATTTTCCAAAGTGCCTGAAGGCAGGACAAGAAGCAACGGATGGAAACTAATCAAGGAGAGAAGCAAGCTAGAACTAAGGAGAAACTTCCTAACAGTTAGAACAATTAACCAGTGGAACAACCTGCCTCCAGAAGTGGTGAATGCTCCAACACTGGATGTTTTTAAGAAGAGACTGGACAGGCATTTGTCTGAAATGGTATAGGGTTTCCTACCTGAGCAGGGGGTTGGACTAGATGACCTCCAAGGTCCCTTCCAACTTTATTATTATTATATCCAATTACTCTATAATATTTCTGCTTGTTGGTGGAATAAATATGCCATAGTGCTGAATTTGTTTCTTCCTACCCTTTGTACAAGTCTGTGCACCATCACTCAGGAAGTTTGAGAAAGCCTGAAGAGCTCATTGGAGAAAAGCTGGTGAGATATGTAAAGGGGAAACGTGAGCAATGAAAAAACTAGTTGTGTTTATGGGAAGGAGATACATGGAACAGTTCACATAATCTAGTAACCTAAATTTTCTCATTTACCATCATCTAATCCTGGATTAACTACTTTCAGATCTTTCAATCAAAAGAATATATTATATATAATATTATATGCATATATAATTCTGAACAAAGATTTTATATACATATATATAAATTTAAGCTTTCTTCAGAATTTCCCGTTTATTATTTTAGTAATCAGATTCTTAGCCATATGGCTATACATCAGTATTACATCAGTTCCTTCTTTCCAGCAACTTTTGGAACAACCTGTTAACTTTAAAATATACCTTGTAAAAGCCAGTTGAATATACAGTGACTCTCATTTCTTCTAAGCATATTTTCTGGTAAAGGTATAGCTCAAAGAGCAGCCACATCTCCTTATCCTTTTTTGACTACTGTTTATAATGAAGATTTCTTAGAAACTCAGAAAGTTTTTAAAAAATTCAAATTGGATTAATTTTTTTAAATGTTTAGATTATTTTTTTAAAAAATGTATAGATTTTCTGTTAAATACTGCAAATTGCAAGGAAACAGGAAGACAGTATATATATAATAGTTGGATAATTTGTCACTGCTGAAGAATCTTTATACCAAAGAATACAATGAAGAATTGAAGTATTGATGAAAAGCAGATTAAAGCATGCTTTTTAGGAATTTCATAACAGCAAAGAACTGATGGCTTGAAAAGGAAGCAGTAACTAAGGTAGTGTGTAATATATACCAAGGCAAATTCAAAGTTAAAGTTTCCAATTACACAGAACATATTATTGAAGAATAAACACTATTCTAGTAACTGCAATAAACATTGCAGTTACTAGAATAGTGAACATCTCTTCCACTATGCATTTGAAAATAGCTGCTTGTAGTATTTTATATGGGGACATTGTTAAATTTCAACTCATGCAAAAAAGATTAATTAATTAGCCAACATGTTAAATTTTTGAAACACTTAATTATTGTTATGGAAAATACTTTTTCACATTATTGTTGGGCACAAATAACCAATATCATATCTGAATGCATGTAGAAAGAGACATCCATTTTTAGAACTTTCACTTGCAATTATATTTTACCCTATACAAAATTCATACCTTAAGCATTGCTACAGAGCTCTGCTTGCAGAGTAGTATGTGTGCTTATGAACTCTTGATATATTATTGTCTCAAGGCCCAAGAATCTTCTGTTAATGAAGGCTAGCTAGGAAGTCCTGCTCAGCATCTCATGAAGCTCCCAGAACCCTAGTTCACTGAGGGGAGAGACCAACTGCCAGACAGCAGAGTCCCCGTAGGGATGAAAGTAGCTATCAGGAAAGGAATTACAGGAAAGGAAGTTTCCATTCATCCAATAATAAGCCTTTTACATCTTGGCTCCCATAATTCTCTAAGGTTACTCAGAATAATGCATCTTCTATTCACTTCATCTTTTTTGCAATGTGATTTTTTTTTTTACATCGAAATCAAGTTCAATGGATATTCTGTTTTAAAAGATAGGGAAATCCTCCCTGGAGGTAAAATTAATACAGATTTCTCGGATAGGCTTTTTAAAAAGAAGTGTTACTTAAATATAGATAGCTCAATGGGCAGCATATAAATAAATAAATAAATAAATAAATAAATAAAATGATAAAATGAAATAGCTTAATGGAGAAGAGTACTTCCTGATTTCCTCTAGGAATCTCATTATTTCCCCTATTCATAAAAAAAAATGACTGTGAATCATGCAGAAATGTAATTAAACCAAAGTGAATAAAATTAATAAAACAAGGCAAATATTATGAAGCTTTGTGGGTCTTTTGCAACATAATTCCTTACATACATTCCAAGATATAAAAACAAAGGTCTAAGAATGCAAGACTGCAGAATAATCATTGATAAATTTAAATCAATAAGATTTATTTAATTTTTACTAATTAAATAAAACAGTTTGTATTCCAATCAGATGATTTCCTCCCCTCTTCTTCTGTTTAATGTAGAGATGGAGAGGAGGATTTACAGGAGATTTCCTTTTTAATTTTGCTATCCAGCTGAGAGGCAGTGATTTCTGGTTCCCTTTCTTCTCTTTGTCCATTTGTGTGTCCAGGAGGACAGAGATAATTAGAAAGCTGGGGAGAGGCACAGCCTGAGGAAACTGGCATGGAAATCTCATGTAATTGCAGAAAAACATTATATGAAAAAAGAAAAACCCTTTGTTTTGAACCCTTTGAATGTGCATCTTAGGGCTTTTCTAGGCAATTCTCTTACAGCTAAGGAGAGGCTAAACATCCCATAATTAACAAATTGCAAAACAAAACATTGTGAGAAAAAGGGGTTCTCTTCTAGCTACTACTAACGGTAGTCAGATAAACACAGATGTCTTACTCTTTGTGCCTCCTATGCCATTTTGTAAAATCTTAAAATACTGTGTATAGTATAAATACTGTGCTATAGTATAATTTTATTTGTCTGGATATTACACACTCCCTGGCAGGAGCATTCAAGTATCCAAGCATGGAATAACTCATGCAGTATTTTAAAAAAATGACAGAAATGAAAATAGTTTCAACAATATTCTGTTCAGCATCTTTCCCTTATCATTTTGCTTGCATTCTTTCTCTACACCGCATGCTATTTTAGCATTAGCCACACATCATACAGATAGAAAATATTAATATAGCACTAGAAGTAAAGTTAATTGATTAGTGTTACCTTGAAATGCCCTTGTGCTACATATCAAAATGCTTAAAATTATGGAAAAGTAGCAAATAATTCCCTCAGACACAAATATTGCAACGGCAGTGCAGACAGCGTTACCTGTGATGTCTTTAATCCCTCCTTCTACTCCAGCCATTTCTGGAGTCATGGATGAGCGAATGCTGGCAACTAAGTCTCCTACAATGCCGTGGAGAGCAGTAAAGTTCTCTACATTGAATAGGTGCGTATCAAGGGGTTTGCTTGCTATTTCCTTTAATTCCCCTTCCACTGCATCCTGCACTCCAATGGCAAACATGTTTACCTCAGCAGATTTAAGTATAGATGATGGTAGAGCCACATCATCTTGGGATCGTCCATCCATTAACACTATAATAATCTGGGGAATGCCATTGTTCGCTCTGCTTCCAGCGGCTTTAGTTAGATGGTTCCAAATTAGGAACTCTAATTCTTGTCCGGTCTTGGTTCCTCCCCCCATGTAAGGCATGTGTGAAATATGGAAGAGGACATCTTGTAAAGTATGATAGGTGTTTAACTGGAACTCTGAATGTGGGTTTCCACTGAACTGGACCAGACCAAACCGAAAATCATTTCCTCCCACATCTAATTGTTTAACAACATCATACAGAAACTCTCGAACAAGTTGGAAATGTTCGTTTCCAATGCTCCAAGAGGAATCCACTAGAAATATTATATCAGCAGCAGCACTGATTTTGACATCTTTAAAAAAAACACATTGATTTATGATTTTCCAGAGGTCATGGTAGACAGGAAGATCTTGTCCTACATTAATAGCCAGGCTCTTCTTTTATATCACCAACAACCCAGAGTTCATTTACACTGGGGCAGGTGGAAAACTATTCAAATCCTGGAAATTATTCTTGTTTAATAAACACTGATTGATGTGGCAATTTTAAACTACTAAAGCAGCTTGCAGATACTAAAAGGGAAGAGTGGAGGTCTGGAGTGTGGGGGGAAGAGTTGCTAATGGAAAGAGTAGGGCAGCTGGGAGGAACAGATTTTTGTGGGAATTTTCAGATTTATTTTAAAAATGTTGTTTTGAAATAAGTTGTTACAGTACTAGTTCTGCATTTTCTTACTCTGGTTCATATTAAATACCTTCATATAGTACCAATATTATAAGAACATGATGCTGTCTTTGTTCATCAGACAGAAGAAAAGTCAAATTAAAATTAATTGAAAATTGTTCCAATGTGCAATATTTCCCAAATATTTTGTAATATTACTTAATTCTTTACTGCAGAAAAGAAGAATCAAGCAAAATCAATCATCTGTATCATTGGAAAAATAACATTTATCTCTTTAGAAATGTAACATATGAGAGTTGGCTCCCTTTCACAAAAATATCCCCATTTTTCCTATGCGGTATCTATGCTCCAAATAACATTGATCTATTCCAGCAGACCCACCATCGTATAAGGATGAACAGGGTAGGTACAGCAGAGGCAACTGCTTGTTCATCAAGGCAGGCATGCAAGAGATGTTCTACATACAGTAAATATGCCTATGTACACACGGCAAAGATTCAAGGATAGACATTGGCAATCAGTACTACAGCAATATACAACAGCAATATATTTTTCTCTTCAAAATTTCAAAGGAAAACCTGGGATAATTTCCCATTTTTAAATACTGAATCGTTTAAAAATAGAAGACACTTACTAGTTTCTTTCTGCTGTGCATCAGCCTCATGATTGCCTGAGAGTAAAAGACAACAGATTGTTGCAAAAATCAAATGGTGATACTTCTTCATTATGTTTGATTATGAGTTGGTTAGCTTTTCAAAGCACCAGTTTTAGATCTGAAAAGAAATGGAAATGTTGTCAGTTGAAATTTGATATACAGAAACCAATAATATATCATAATAATACTGACTTTGTTTTTGTCTATATATAGCAAAATAATGTAATGTCTTCACTATAAAATATCTCATTGATGTTCATAAGAAAACTTTTTTCTCACCTTTTCTGGTACCAGTTAATGCTAGCTGGGAAACTATTTACTACAGTGTTTTACTGACATCCAGGTATGGCCTCTCCTATTCTTTCCTTCACCTCTTCCAAAATCATTCTCCCTTGGATTTGGCTAAGTAAGACACACCTTTGAATAGATTCCCAATGTTGTAGACTCAATGCCACCCAGTTCAACTATTGGCTTAGGATATTTTCTGTTAAGAATTAAGGTAGCATTTGGCCACCTGCATTCAGTATTCAGTACTTCATGGGCTTCCTCTCCCCAAAACACACATACAGGAAGTCCTTGCTTACTGACCACTACTTCAATGACCAAAGTTAAGATAGTGCCAGAAAAGGAAATTTATGACCAATCCTCAAACTTGCAGTCATTGCAGTATCCCTGCAATCACATAATTGCAAATTGAGCATTTGGCAACTGGTACTTATTTACAACAGTCATAGCATCCCGCAGTCATGTGATCACCATTTATGACCATCTCAAAGTCAATGGGGAAGCCAGCTGGAAGTCACAAGTCAAGGTTGCATAATGTCATGCTTAACAACTGTGGGTGATTTACTTAATGACTGCAACTAGAACTGGTGTCATAAGTTGCTATGGTCACATGACATTTCACTTTACAACTGTGACCTTAGCAATGGAATTGCGTATCTCAATCATGGTTGGTACACGAGGTCTACTTGCAAATGGAAATGTCTTTTTACAATTAACTGAAAGTGTTTCATAGTTTCAATTCAGTTTACTTCGTTTCAAATTCTGAGCTAATTAATGAAATCCTGCCCCACGTTTGTAAGAAAAATAAACTGTCAAAGACACATCAGTTAGCAATAAAGAGTTCCAGTTCATGACACAGTTCCAGAAACTGAGTATCATCTGCGAAGTTAATTGATACAAAGTACCATGATCATAATCAGGGCTAAAATTTCATTGATTGATTTCTCTTAGAAAATATTTGAAAGTTCTTTTGATGGGATCAGAAATAAAAGGAGCTGCTAAATCCTGACCATGAGACTGACCACAATTCAATAAATAGTTACAAGCAAGAACATTAGATTCAGGTAAAAAAGGAGGAATTGAATATGACGGTCAATTTGAATCTAGGTGTGCTGCTTCTTTACCACCTTAGAAACAACGTTACATTGAGTTCAAGAGGAGATTGTTACCCTGGTAAAACCACGAACATGCTGATTCCTCTGAAGTCTCGCAGAATTATTCCAACTTTAGCATTGTGAAGTGGACAAGGACAAAAACTAGAGCTTTAGTTAATGAATAAGTAGATGAACAGGGAAAGTCTGATATCTAGCTGGCTGATAGTAGAACATAGAATAATAAGGTTGGAAGGGACCTTGGAGTTTTTCTAGTCCAATATCCTGCTGATGGCAGGAGACACTATACCATTTCCAGACAAATGTCTGTCCATCTCTTCTTGAAAACCTGCAGTGATGGAGTACCCAGAACTTCCGGAGGCAAGCCATTCCTTTGATTAATTATTGTCAGGAAATTTCTTCTTAGGAAAGGAATTTTCTCCAGGAGGATATGAAATCGACTACTCAGCTTCAGTGGGGGATGTATTGGACAGGACTGCAGTTGACAACAGAGACATCTTTTTGGTTGTTTTTTTTTTCTATGGGTGACATATTGCCATTGGTCTATCTCTAAAGGGTCATTTAAAGCAGGAGTGTCAAACTGCTGGCCCTTGGGCTGGTTGCATCATGCAAAGGCCGCGCCCACCCCAGCTTCTGCAATGTGAAAAAAGTCGTGATATGTCGACACCCATGATTTAAAGGTTCATTTTTTTCTGGTAGTTGTTTGTTCCTGACTGTGTTCAGTTTGGATACAGCCTTCTTCCTTTGATTTGAGTTTTTGTTGGTTGAGTCTCAGAGTGGCTAGACTTGCCTCTAGACCCCTTATTTTTTCTTTGAGTAATTCATTTAGTTTACATTTGCTACATGTGTAATTTGGGTCTTCTGTGGGCATGAATACATACATGGAAAATATTTTGCAAATCACAACAGTGTAAGTATTTTTCCCCCATGATTTTTTCAAGACTATGCTTTTCTTCTTGCAGTTGCTAGAAGTGTTTTAAAAATCTAAAAGTTCATTTAAAGATTAAAATTTCAAAACTTTTTTAAAAAATCAAAAAAATTAAAAGATTTTTTCAAAATTTTTAAAAATTCTAAAAAATTCAATTTTTAAATGTTAGTCTTTTGGTGCCTCTTGTGACTGATGTTGAAGTAAGACTTAAATGTAACTGGGATTGACCTCTAGATTCAGTTTATATTGTTGTTTATAATTACATAAAATTATATTAAAATATATAAAAATCATATAAACCTTATATAAAAGTTATATAATCTTGAATGGGAATTAAAATGTACTCTGTTTACTACCTATGTACATTTAAGTTTCACACAGAAGACTTCACACAATTTAGTGTTTATGTCCAAGCTCTGGGTATAAATATCTATCTTCTCCTTTGCACAAAAACAAAAAGGATTTTCCTAGACTACCAGTGAAGTAAAAGAAGTGATTCAATGTGATATAATATTTAAGGTGCCTATTTAGGACGAGTTACTATCTAACTCTTACTACTAATAGCAGTTGTGTAGTAGTAGGGAGAGTAATACTTGGGAATGGTCTGTTATGACATTAGTCATAACACTGGATCACTGAAATTCTGGAATTTTCTTTTCTTTTCTATTTTTTAAAACCAGCTGCTCTACTCAAGAGCAGACCTTCTTGCCTTATAATCTTTGCCTTATAGTCTTTCAATTAACCATGTCTTATCAGCTTCTGATGGCTATATGTAGGCTTGAGGATAAATCAGGAAGAGTGACATTTCTTGTATAAGTAAAATGAATGTGAAAGAATTCAGGCCACAATGCAAGAAAGACTTTGCTGTAAAAATGCCTTTTTCTCTGTTAAGGGCATATAGAATTTTGCTGTCAGAAAACTATTTTCATCTATGGATGGATGGATGAGGATTATGATGGTAACTGAACAAGAAACTTGGGATTCATGTGAATACTGAGAAATAGGGTTAGAGGCTAAATTGAATGTTTGAAGAACCCTCCTTCTACAAGACAAAAGTAAGGCTGTCTTTTCCAGCACAGTGGGAAGCTTTTCTGATTAAACCACTCTATCTGAGGCAAGCCTGTCAACTGTTTCATCTGCAGCTCTTCCTGTACTTACCATAAATATCTGAAAGGATCTGTAATCCAAGCAAACACATTTATTTATTTATTTATTCAATTTTTATCCCGCCCTTCTCCTTACGGACTCAGGGCGGCTGACAGCCTTATAAAACAGATACAACAATAAATACCCAATTTAAAACCTAATTAAAAAGAAATATTTACTATGGCCTATATAATTAAAATTGCTCTTAAAACCCCACTAAAAATTCCCCTAGGCCAATCCCGCTTGTTGGAAGACCATGTCTTCAGGGCGCGGCGGAAGGAGGGGAGATCCGGGATCACCCGGATCTCTGGGGGTAGTTCGTTCCAGAGGGTGGGAGCTCCCACCGAGAAGGCCCTCCCCCTGGAGGTCGCCAGCCGGCACTGTCTGGCTGACGGCACCCTGAGGAGACCCACTCTGTGGGAGCGTACCGGCCGATGGGAGGTAATCTGCGGC